ATTTCCCTAACATTAGTTATTTGTAGTCATTTATGAGTTTTAACTAAAATAATATAATGCATTTCAAAAAGAAACTTGTTTCTTTTATTGTCCCAACAGAACAGACTGATGATAGTGGCATTAGCTAGCTTTGTGGTTAGCTAGTCTATGATGAGCCATAATTTAGCAATGGATAATGTCATACTGCAAATTGTAAAATATACATTTTCAATATAACAGGCCAAGGAGAGATGATTCGTCTCATTGCTATAACTGTCACGCGCTATTAAAGAAATACTTCAGTCACATTGTCAAAAGTTAAAAGGACAGTCAGTCAACTACACTGTAACAACGTAACGCAACTATTACTAGCTAATCACGCTTCACTCTCGGCTTATTTAACAGCAGCAAAACACTCATGACATGGTTGAAGCGTGTTTCGTCTGTTTTTATTTTATTTCTGAAAAATATTTATCGGCCATCATAACTACCGATACCGATAGTTTGAAAAAAAAAATGCCGAATATCGGCCGATAATATCGGCCTGCCGATATATCGGTCTGGCTCTAATATATACACATTTAAATCTTTATATCTTACCATTTTCAGTTAATTTCCTGCTTTAAATAATATATATAGTATATGGTATATGGTTCCACTGATGCTCAAGATGCTCTTTTGAACATCTCAAATCATGCTGGACAACATGATCATGTTGACATCAGGGCTGATGTCATTAAAGCAAAAAAGCATTAAAATTGTCACTTAAGTTGCACTGCTGATAGTATTTATGTGTATAATAAATAATGAAACCATGCATGTTCAATAATAAAAACAAATGCATTGTCACAATTGCTCTCAGACTTTTTGACCCCACTGTGTTTTAAAAACAACAAGGCTGGTAACGTTTGGCAACCGCACAACCTTGCGTTGGTGCTTTCGTACATTTCTCCCATTGAGCCAACCGAGAGGACAAAGAGAGGAAAGCTTTGACAGTTTGGAGACTGAGATATGAGCGTGATGGGGATCACAGCATGGCAAACATCAACAATAACATTCAAATTCACATAAACACAACAATGCGACCCACCGAGCGCACCTACAATCTGACCTGTGGGAATCGCATGCGACTCGACTGAACAAATGTACGTCAGTTCGGTCACAAAGGCTTTCCTTCTCATACGGACAAGATCTGCTGCTGGCGTTTCCATACCAGTAGCGCTTCGGCATTTATCACCGCTATGGCGGGAAACGAGAGCTACCCAAACGTCCCTCGAGTACTTTATAAGTTTCAGGGTTTTATGACCTCACTCCGGCCACTGATAAGAGCCCTGCACAACGCTGACCCGGCTTTCCCTGCCAATCGGCCTGACACATTACAGGAAGGCCATATTGTTCTACACAAGCTGCTTCCCCCTTTCATGATGGTGCGAGAAAGATCGGGGAGAGGGTGGCAGTCCTGTGAGAATGAGAGCAAAGCTATCACGGTGAGAAAGTGAGGGTGAAAATCAAACATAAATATCAGTCAGGCCGCAAAGACACAATGGGCCATTTGTCATTCTTACGGCAGGGGCAACCTTGGGAAGCTTTACCGGTTGAGACGACATCATGAAATCGATCGGGAAATGCTGACTTGCGCTTCCAAATAATTCAGAACTGATGACTGGAAGTTGCGTCTGAGAGTCTTCTTGGGAAAAGATAAGGTAGACAGAAATCTGAAGGGAGTGTTCATGCTTTCCTGATAATCACTGATGTGAGAAAAGGGACTCAAGCACTTGTGGAGGTACCAACGAAAGAACAAGGATTAAACTTCCTCCAATTCATTCAACTAAACATTCAGATTTGATTGGGCAATTTCCTAAAATTAAGTTTTAAACAATCAAAGTTTCAAGTAGTCATGGGTTTCTCAGCAACGGCAACAACAGTAGTTAGTTCACATAAAGCTTAAAAGAAAAGTCTGATTTGTGTGGGAAAAAAAATGCTAGGACTTGGAATACAATGCATTTAATGCATGAACTACTTTCAATGTGCTAGAAAACAAACCATCAATGGTGGAATGTAACGAAGTACAAATACTTTTGTTACTTTACTTAAGTACATTTTTCACATATCTTTACTTAAGTAGAATAAATAGTGCATACTTTTTACTTTTACTTCGTTACATTTTGCAGCAATTATTATACTTTCTACAACTACTGTTACATTTTCTGATCAGTTTTTCCCTGCCAAAACGTAATCGGACCATCTGTTTGTTGCACGTTTGTCTCACCAGTGACGTTTGGTTGCCATAGATACATCAACTAAATGGGTTTATCGTGCAATTTATACGCGAAAATTTGTTTTTACATGCATAGGAAACACACCGTGTGTAATATACGTTTGGTTAGGATTATGGCAAGCCAAGAGGTTCAGAATTGCACCATAAATGAATTGCATCTACTGCCAAACATAGTTATTAATATATAGTAAGGATAAGCATGGTTTATATTGCCTAATTGCAAGCTTGTTTCGGAAATGGTGACAACATTTTTTTTTCCATCATTATCATTATAGGAGTATGAGTTAGAATTAAACGTTTTATTAATCATTAGAAAATAGTCATTAAGAGAATCAAATTACTTTTAATACTTAAAGTACATTTAAAATCAGGTACTTTTTACTTTTTTACTTAAGTATGGTTGTCATTGTGTTACTTCTACTTTTACTAAAGTAAATATTTATCTGGTTATTTGTACTTTTGAGATTCAGTACTTCCTCCACCACTGCAAACCATGGATTGGGCAAACACAGCAATGTGGGAATGTTTATGAAAATGTGTTTTTAAAATTACCTTCAGGAAGTCAAAACTGGCATCTAAGGAGCAGGCGAATAACAGGAACTACTATAAATACAAGCATTCAGTGTCCAAAGCGATCTCTAAATACGGACCAGCATAAGCAATGAAGCCTTGTGACTTCTTGTGTGTTGTGAGCCATCCAGGAAGTACATTTAATTAAGACTAAGAGTGATAGAAAACATTAGTTTTGTTCTTCTGCGTGAACTATTTCTATTTTGCATCACTACATGCTACATCCACACGTCATGAGAACACACATTGACATCTGTTTAGGTCATTTAGCTAATCTTTCCTGCAACTTAGATGGACGTACATGCAGTGATTGCAGGATGTGGACAGGACTTCATTAGTCTCTAATCTAAATCAGTCTCTAACAGGATCATTTTCTGTAATGACTCAATGTTTACACACACAAAAGACGCTGACAGAGCAGAGGTCAATTGGGACATTCAATCAGAAACGGACTAACTCAACATAAACATAACTGGGATTACAAGATTACTGGGTCTTTTTCTTTTCTCTTAATGCTAGTGAAAGTCATCGATCAGCAGGTGTCTGAGGGTTTAGCAGTTGTTTAGGTTAGTGTAAGTGCGTGGATTGTTGATTTGTGGGGGATGGAGGACAAATTCTTTCACTACTGTTTTGTTATCGATCTTTTGTCATGCAAAATCTAACGATGTGCAACATGTTGAGATACAGGAATATAGATTAGCACGTACTCTATACACAGACACACTAACCTTAGATTAACAGAATTAGGGCTGAGGAAACTAGATAACAAATTATTCAACCACTTTTGACTGAAGTTACATGTTAAAAATTAAATACATGTAAAAAAAAAGAAAAAAGAAGTATTTATTAGAATGCTATGAAACTGACTTTTTGCTACGTGTCGTTATTAACCCACAAAAATTGTGGACATGACAGAAAAGGCTAAAAAAAAGTCAAACTTTTACTTAATAAAACCAAAATACCATTCAAAAGTTTGGGGTTATAAAGAAATGCATGCACTTTTATTCAGCAAGGACAGATTAAATTGATCAGTCATTTATAATGTGCAAATAAATGCTGTGGTATAAATAAAGCAGCACTACTGTTTTAAAGAGTGATAATAAGAACGTTTCTCAGCATATTAGAATTATTTCTGATTCTGAAGAATCATGTGACACTGAAGACTGGAGTAATGATGCTAAAATTTGTCTGTATCACAGGAAATTTGGCTGTATCACAGGAATAAATTACATTTAAAAAATGTATTAATATAAGCAACAGTTGACTTAAATTTCACATTATTACCATTTTTACTGTATTTTTAATCAATTAAATGCAATAGAAGAGACTTCAAATTAAAAAAAAAATCTTACTGACTTCAACATTTCGAATGGTAGTGTGTAGATATATATATATATATATATATATAGTCATGGTCATAATAGGTGGATTGATGCAAATTTTTTGAATGAAAGATCAAAAGGATAAACAATGTAGATTTATTTTTACAGCCAGTTTTGATCATATTTACCAAGGGTGCCATCAATTCTGACCATGACTATATATATATATATATATATATATATCATTTTGTTTTTGTTTTTACAATTGGAGGGACGAGTTTTATTACTTTTATTACTAAAATAAACCTCCACCACTGCGTTCATTAACATAATTGTGCTCAAAGCAGCAGCAGAAATGCTGAACAAGCTCCAGTGCTCCTGTTGATCTGCACGAGCTTCCTGTGGGATTACAGATTACGTCCCAAAGAAGTCGAGCCAGATACACGCCACAACATAATCACCGTCCTACTTAACCTGCGGAGCACATCAGCAGGAAGACATGGAGCGTGCAGGTCGGCACACACCTGACCTCGCTTCAGTCACAATTTTTTTGTGGGTGTTAAAGGGAAACATCTGCAGAAAGCACAAGGAGGCCACGATTGTCCATGGAGAACCGTGCACTACACTACATACATGGCCAGGGTGTCTTTTTACATGCTTGTGTCCACGCCAGACTGCCAGGAATGTCACAATGCATGAACATAAACACATGCACATCAAGCGTACCAGTCAAAAGTGTGTTTCTACACCACAAAGAAGCTCAAATATACCATTTGTTGTTAGTTTTGCAACTAGTCCTGGATCACATGATCAGTTGTATTTGTTCTAGAGAGAAAAGGCTTGACCCTTACCCTTCTCTTGAGGCGTTCTCTCTCTCTCAGCGTGAGCGTGTCGGCTTTGGCAATTACAGGAACGATGTTGACTTTGCTGTGGATCGCCTTCATAAACTCAACATCTAGAGGCTTCAGGCTGGTAAAAACATCAAGCACACAAATCACATACAAAGCCTAAAAACTTTTACTTAGCAAGGATACATTAAATTGATCAAAATGTATAATGTTACAAAAGATTTATGCTGTTAGATTATAATTCACAAAAATATGACGCAACACAACTGTTTATAGTAATTTATAATAATCAGAAATGTTTCTTGAGCAGCAAATCATCGTTTTAGAGTGACTTCTGAAGGATCATGTGACACTGAAGACTGGAGTAATGATGCTAAACATTCAGCTTTAATCAAAATGCAATGAATAAATTACATTTTAAAATATATTGAAGCAGTAAATAGTTACTTTGTATTGTAATAATATTTGAGAATATCATTTTTACCGTTTTTCAATCAAATAAAATGCTTATAAAATGCAAAAACATGACAAATAATCAGAGTAAAGGTATGTTTGTACCAATCATTAATTTTCACCTATGATAATTATGTATGCATCTACCATTAAAATTCATCCTGAAATGATGTGATGGGCAAATATTTGTCGGCAATAAATGTTTATTTGGGACTGTTCGAAATCCTTCGATTTTTTTGTTGAGGTTTCAGGTGACCTAAGAATTTTTCTCAGAAGCTGCTGAAAATTAATTTTACACTTAGTCTGAAAGCATGTATGTAAAGTTTTTTTTTAATGATAATTCACATCATATTTGATGTAAACTTCAATTGTGATTCATGTTGCTGTAATTGAGGGCTAAAGCTAAACCACTTTCTGCCAGAATAAAATGTTTTATTGACTGATGTTGAAAGGCAGAACATGTGCAGGTGTTTTACCCGTGTCCAAACGGAGAGATGAAGTAAAAGCAGCAGTGTACTCTGTTGTCAACGATGTGTCTGCGGTTCAGTCCGCTCTCATCGTGCAGGTATCGCTCAAACTGATTATCGATATACTGGATGATCGTCTTAAAGCTGGTGAAGAGAATAAAGCAGAGAGCAGAGAACGAGCTGAAAGTGAATACTCGGATATAAAAGCTTGTGATTGTATTAAACAAGCGCATTAAACAAACATGGGATATGGATCTCAGCAGAACAAAACCACAATCTAATCGCAGGATAGCAAGACGCATTTTAGAAATGGTGAACAAACACTTAGTCTAAATAAAGCTTATCAAAACGCTCCACAACATCATGTTTACAGGTTCTTGTTCAGCAATGACGCACCACATGAACCAGTGTTATTTTAGCATCACTGAAATGTTAATAAATATATATATAAATATTTAATAAATATATATATATATATTTATTGTAGGTCCGTACAATATATATATATGTAAAGGTTTAGTAATTTTGCTGTTTTTGTAGGTTTTTTTTTTTTTAAAGGGATAGTTCACTCAAAAATGATGTCATTAATTACTTACCCTCATGTCATTTCAAACCCGTAAGACTTTTGCACATCTTCAGAACACAAATTAAGGTAATTTTAATGAAATCTGACAGAAATCTGAAATTTGACACTTCAATTTCATAAATATATCGTAAAACTAATCCATATGAATTGAGCGGTTTAGTCCAAATTTTCTGAAGAGACTTGATCACTTTAGATGATTAACAGATTGAATTTAGGCTTTAATTCACAAATAAAACTTGATCAGCGAACATAAACAAACGCTCAACCGAACCTGCATAACACGAGAATGAACCTCATTGGTTCTCGGACCTCAAGCGAACATTCTAGAGCTTTCATTTACCATATCAGATGTGTGCATTGATTGATTAATGTTTATATGTGAATAAAAGCCTAAATTCAATCTGTTCCTCATATAAAGTGATCGAGTCTCTTCAGAAAATTTGGACTAATTTTGAAGCATCAAATTGGTAGTTGCGTAGCCGTCAATGGAGGGACAAAAAGCTCTCAGATTTAAATTAAAATATCTTCATTTGTGTTCAGAAGATCAACGAAAGACTAATAGGTTTGGAATGACATGAAAGTGAGTAATTAAAGACATCATTTTCATTTTTGGGTGAACGATCTCTAATTTGTTTTGTTTTTCTTGTAAGTTACAAGTTGAACTAAATAAAAAATAGAACTGTTGCTTGGAAACTAGCTGAAATAAATACGTTTTTATATTTAATTCAGTTTCAGTTCACATTTATTTTAAGCAACAAAAATAATTTCATGGTTTAATTTAAGTTTTAGTTGACATGTACCAACTCTCAGTTCTCAGCACCAGATTCCCTTTTGCTCTAAAGTCTCCAGACTTATCTAAGCAGCACACGCTAAACCACTTCTGCTTCTGACGCAGATATGACCACAGCACTTCACTTTTCCAGATCTCAGCCTTGAGAACAGCCTCGCCGCCTTATCGAGAGGTGAAAGGAGGAAACATGACATGATAATATAGGTAGGTAACGTTACGTGGATGGCATATTTTCATTAACCGCATTAGAAATCTGTGAGTAAGAGATGGGGAGGATATTGTTCTTTCAAACAGGACGTTCCCAGCATTCCTCAGCAAGGCTCAATGACCAACTTACAAACACAAGGCAACAGCTGCCGATAATCCACAATCAAGTGCCATAAAGTAAATAGTCTCTGCTATGCAGATACATAGACACATAACACTATTAAGTTAATGTGCAAGGTCTAATTTTATGGTAGATATCTGTAATAATAACACATAGCTATTTCAACTACCCAAGGAACATTTTTATGCAAAACAACACAGGCACACATTACATTAACTTTATGTTTTAGAAATAAATAAGTAGGGATGGGTCAAGATCTGCATCTAGGTTAATCAACTATTTTTTAGCAAGATCACTACAGCTGTCAGACAGTTTGCACACAAGAAACCTTCTCTACATACAGTACATCATTTAAAGCACTAGAAATTTTACATAAATTTTGCGTGTTTATAGCATTTTATCACATAGATTTCACATCCAAAACCACATTTTCCATGTGTTTCACGTGACAACTTCAAATTGTCTTTCTTTAAAAGTGCTTGTGATTTTTATTTTCACAATAAAAATGTTCTTAATTATTTGGTTGTATAGTGTAATGACATTCAGAAGTGTGATTTCAGCGTTGAAATGATAAGAAATGTGTCAGATCCATAAAGTAATGCAAAAGCAATAAAATGTATTTTTGAACAATTATATAATGCAATGCAGATGCACAAATGCACAAACACAAATGCCTGTGACGGTGTGTATTTACAGCAGGTGTGATGTGCTTCACAAATATCCCGTTATTATCCACCACCAATAATTTTTGGTACAGGGAAAATGATAATGCATGGAGAACGTCAAACTTAAAAGTAAATATATGGCTCAGAAGAAAGAAATTTCCCCTTCCACACCCATTGATAGTGGCTGGTCTCTACTAAAATGTTTCGTACCACATGTCATGCGCACATTCAGCAATCTAAACGAGGACACACCAGAAATGTTTTTCTTTAATATAAAGTTAATTATAATGACTGTTTGAATCATTTTTTATGACTGAAGATGTCCCCAGATGTCTCCAAAGAGAGGTTTGGTCAGACTCTTGTGATAAATTCAGCCGAGTAAACACACACTGACCAGTCCTGGCTGTTGATGGCGTCTCCATATCCAGGCGTGTCCACTACAGTCAGTCTGAGCTTCACTCCCCTCTCCTCGATTTCCACAGTGGACGCTTCAATCTGAACCGTGCGCTCGATCTTCTCTACAAGCACAACAAAACCCCAATCAGAACAAAAGATGCGTATAAACATTTGAGGGGGCACATCACATTAAACATCATGATTTATTGATGCAACATAAAAAGTTATGAGAAACTCTGGGAGGAAGCCCTGGGCTACAGACGGGATTATTTCCTTGAAAATAGCCAAAGCTTTAATAGACAAGTGCTCAACAGAGGGATTTGAAATCCATTGAGCATCTAAATAAGAAATGGTTTGAATTCCAGAGTGAGAGAATATTTTATATTAGAATATTTCTTTCTACAAAGCAGCATTTGGAACTTATGACACACTTAAAGGTAATCTTTCAATTATTTTTTTTTTTAATTTATACAGATTCTTGTATGAAAATGTCAATTAAAAAAGACATACATAAGAATACATACGTTATATGCTAGCATAGATGGTGACAATATACATGGATGCTTGAAAAACAACAAAGTCGACAGCAATATTGCTAAATGTGATTTATTAAAGATACTGCAATGTGATAAACATGGAGACAACGTTAGCCACAATTAGCTAATAGCTATAGCCTGTGGTCACTCACCAAGACACCTGACCAATCCTCCACCGATTCTGCTCACACCACAACTCTATCTCTCTTCTCTGTCCATTTACCCTTCCCCTTAACTCTGCCTGACCCCTCTCTCGCCTAGGTGGCTCATAATTATACGGCAATGGCCCATCGGAAGAGTTGACATGAACCCCGACTGCAACCTCTTCAATGTCTGACTCCATTACGAAGAGATGAGATTTACCGGCCGTTGCGTCACATCCGATCAGAGCGTTTTCGACAGCGGAAGTAATTTTACCCACACTTTCTTTTAAATAACTTTTTTAATGCACATTTATGATTAATTTCTTCACGCAAATCGAGTTCCTACACTATTTATCTACACGTCTATTCACAGGGATCTTCAACTTGAAAGATGGGCTTTAAAAAATGATTTAAATTATAACAAAATATCACATTATAAATTATAATTTTTTTCACAAAATAAAAAATAGATTAATAAAAAAGACAAAATGTAACAAATATTTGTGAGCATTTTTTTTATTTTATTTTATTAACCATGATGACTATTTTTTTTTTCTGCAGGTCTAACATTTAACATTTGAGAACACAATGTACCAACACTAGTCTATTAGTCAAAGTTGGTGTTAAAATAGTGGAGACTTGGCAAGTCAGTTATCTAAATAAAATAGCCCCATAACATATTGAGTAATTACAGAACTAATAACCCAATGACTTGGTAGATCTAAATGTGCGTTGCCAGTCACAGAGAATGAAGGTGAATGCTGAATTTGCACAAATGTAGAACCAACCATATTAGAGAAACATTATGTGATGATGATGAGCAATATGTCATGTTATCTTTACTATGCTACAGTATGAACCTATCCTATATAGACCATTTCAAAAGATGTAAACAACACTGGTCCAGAAGCACTTCCTGTTTCAGTTTTTTAACACTACATAAAAGCTGGGATAAAATACAACCAACAGAACATTTAAAACTGAATCAAAAAGTTAAACAAACATCTTTAAGATGTTTTCTTTACATGTGAAATAAAGAAAACAGTTACAAACTGAAACAGGAAGTGTTTCTGGACCAGTGTTGTTTACATCTTTTGAAATGGTCTATAAACTGCTATATTGTTTTTGCTGGTGGGATTCTCTATGATTGTTGAAATTTTGTGAAAGTTTGAAAAGTTTCTGCTCCTATAAAAGCCACAAGGGATGAAATCAACCTTGTTATTTGCGATCTTCTGGAGAAATACCACACTACCCACAATCCTAAGCAAAATAGTGATGTCTCTGATTGCTCAAACTCGCAGTTACCATGGTGACATTTCCCACCCCCATTAGCAGCTTGGATCTGAAGTATAATATTTGTAGTTTATGTATTTATACCTTTGCCTTTTTGCTGTTAGGGTAAAATGTTATTTTGAGTAGGAAATTAATATTAAGAGGGAATGAAACATACATATGCCAGTTGTGCTGAAAAACGAAAGATATCGGATAACAAAAGAAAAGCTTCAGTGTAAGTGAAGTTTCCCTGTGTGAAAGGGCGAGGCTTTTTCCAACGTAAAACGCTGTTTAAATGTATATAGTTGTAATCAAATAAGGTTGGATTATTTCTATGTTGAGCTGTCTGTTTATGAAGCTGAAAGTGCATGCAATAAAATCATATACCAGTGATGCAAACCAACAGGAATCCTTGCTTTTATGCTCTGTTTATGTTTTATGTGTGTAGGGGCCCCATATTAGTTATTGAAACGGGCCCCCAGACGCTTAAGGCCGCAGCGAATAACCAGAATAATGACAACTGCATGTAAACGGGAGTGAAGAGTCACTGTCACATGCTTTTTGGGCCAAAAAATCTACAGAGAGTTTCTCAAGACTGCAAGGGATTATTTCGGTCTTGGACACAATATCCTGTAGAGTTAATAAAGACCTCAGGGGACCTGTGTGTGTGTGTTTACCTGCCGCTCCAGGTATATGGCGCTCTGGGTAGAGGTCAGTCAGGAAGAGGCTGTTGATGAGGGTTGATTTACCAAGACCAGACTCTCCTAAGATAACAAATAACACCCAGTTAAAAGCACAGTGTGTGTGTCTATCTGAATCCATGTCTGTGTTTATATGCCACGCACCTACAACCATCAGTGTAAACTCAAAGCCTTTCTTCACGGACTTCCTGTGCACCTGATTGGGCAGGTTGGCAAATCCCACATATCCTGCAGCATCCGGAAACTAGAAACACAGATGAACACGTTTAATACAGAAACAATTTACACTTAAAGGTAAAGTATACCGTTTTTATTAAAAACAACCTGCCAGGGACTAAATCTGGCTTATTTACATTTAGACATTGTGTCCATATGTTCATTAATGTGCAATGTCCCTTATTAAATAAATAAATATGTTGATTTATTCAGCACCAAAATGATTTGTAAATTAAAGTATAACAAATGTGATTGCAAAAATTATAGTAATGTTTTGAAAGCATGACAGAGTAAAAGCAATTGTTCAGGGAATCATCCTACAAGTAACTCTGATCATTAAATGGAGAAGTTAGGAACTATCCAAAACAATTACACACTTCAACGAGAGCAGGAGTGTCCGTCTTACCTTTCCTTTTTCTCCAGACTGCGACATGACGATCCTGCCTGACAACTAGACAAAGGAAAAAACATTAAAATCAATTAATCAAAGGTCTTTTGGAAGTCTTGGTAGATTTCTCTTGAACTCGCTGTTCAGGAAAAGACATCGTAACAAGAGATCACCAGTCGATATGATCGATATATCTTGATGTATCAATATAACACTAAAAATGTTTTAAAATAATAAGAATACTTAATAATTAATAATAAACTAAATAATAATCACACAGAACATTTACTAAAAAAAAAAAAGAGAAAAAAAAATCCTAAAAAATTCTAAACAAAACTTGAGGAAAATCATTCTAATGTCATTTTTTTTAAAAAAGCAGTGCATCATATTTTTATGGAAACCATGGGAAATTGTTTTTAAGGAACAAAAGAACAGCATTTGTTGGAAATAGAAATCTTTTGCAGCATTATAAATGTCTTTAGTGCCTCTTTTTCCAGCGGAATAGTATTAAATAATTTTTGAAAATATAAAATTACCTCAATTTTTTAAATGATAATAAATAAATACTGGTATGGTCACTGATATATCTAGCATCTTAAATGCAATAGATTGCCAATCAAATAATCCTTCACATTCCAGTCAAATGAAACATTCACATTTTGGAGGCAATGCCAATAAAGCTCATAAATCTGATCTTCCTTCACACACTGTAACAGATCAGCATAAGATTGTGCTGATGATTTTGATGGGGAACAAACTGTTCTGGGGACGCTGGGAGTGTGTGTGTGTGTTAGACATGAAGAGGAGAGTGAATGGTGACCACAGGACAGGGAGGGAACAATACTGTTTATCTTTCATCTTCCTGGAAACGCTTTCCTACATTTCCACCACTCCCCATAAATGAGGGCTCTCTCTCTCTCTCTCTGACACACACACACACACACACACTTTGTGATTTAAGAGGTTTAGGTGAAAGTGTGTTTGATTCAGAGACAGCCGTTCTGAAAGTCTTCACAGTGAAGGCCAAACAGCTGTAATACTGACGGATCGAGTTTTTCATTTTTATGAGTGTTTCTACTCCCAAGATCAGTGGAATAAATTATATTTTAAATTGTGATAATATTTCACAATATTACACTTTTACTGTGTTTTTGATTCGCCTTGGTGAGCATACTTCTTTTAAAAACATTTAAAACATTTTTGAACAGTAGTGTATGTGTTCATCATAATATTATGCCCTTTTACTACCGGTAAGTATTGATTGTTTTTTTCCCCCATATGTTTGAATTGACCTATGGCTAAGTCACGCCCCCCTCCACTCACTCGGACACACAGTCAACATTCGGGGACAGGCGTTATGGCCGCGGTCACATAGGAGACATTTCACAGGAGGCAATTGGTGATTTTTGGAGACAGAAATCACCAATTGCCTCCAATATATATTATATATAATCTCGAAGTCACCTAAAGGGCCTTAACTATGCATTTGGAGGGTTATATTAATAATTTTATTGTTGAGAAGGTCGATGAAAAGCTTCAAAAATGTAAAGGTTACAGTGTAAACGTGATAAACCGCATATCATTGCTATCACCGTTTGGTGCTACAGTATTTACATGAATCATTCAGCACAACATTGGTAACATTTGTTATTGCTAACGTTAGCCTAACGTTCAAATACATTGTTGACTTAACTTAGAACAGATGCAGACATCCTTGTTTAATTTATCCACGTTTAGTTGGTGTTGTGGTCTACCGCATAACTTAATCCAGAGCAGACTCTTATCTCGGTTGAGATGTGGCTTGGGAAAGGGTTAAAAAAATTCACACCGTCGCCCAGCCTCTCGGGAAACTAGTGTCAGAGTTGCATGTACCCTATGCACACTGTTTGACCATTTTAGCATCTATCGCTAAGTAAATGTTGCTATTTTAAAGGGATACTCCACTTTTTTTGGAAATAGGCTCATTTTACAACCCCCCCAGAGTTAAACAGTTGAGTTTATCAGTAACCAGACAGTTTCTGGTCTCATTGACTTCCATAGTAGGAAAAAAATATACTATGGAAGTCAATGAGACCAGAAACTGTCTGGTTACTGATATTCTTCTAAATATCAGAAAATCGGCTGAATACATTCGAAAACGGTAAAACTCAACTGTTTAACTCTGGGGGAGTTGTAAAATGATCCTATTTCCAAAAAGGGGGAGTATCCCTTTAAAAAAACTGATTAAATGCAATGCATTTCAATGGATGTGGAAGCAGAGAATGCCCAAGTGTATTGGGTTAGCTGCGCACTGTGATTGGCTCATCGCGTTTGAGGGCGTGGCTCAGTCATAGGTCAATTGTTGCAGCTCCTCTCTTCCTAGTCTAGCCTAAATTTAGATTTGCTCTAAAAGTTAGTTTGGCAAAGAGCTCATTCAAGCCCATTTCCAATCCTCCGAAATCACTGCACCAATCAGAAACGTTGGGGCGGGCTTTACACGACGACGACAGCGCAGGGATTTTGAAACAGATTTTGTAGCCTACATTACAAAGATGGATGCCGCCGTTCGAATCAGCTATCGCCTCAGTTTTAAGCGATTTGAACGTTTCCTTTTTGTTAAAAACCGAGCAAAGAACAACAGCCGGCTGCTGCTCTGCATACGTCATCTCCTTCATCGCTCTGATTGGTTTTAGGTCTACCTGCGATTTGTCTATGACGCTTTGCCAGACCATAACTGAGAATGGTGGTCTGGTTAACCAGGCAATTCCTAGTCTGTCAGAAAAACTCTGTTTGTTCCTGGATCTTTGAAGCCCCTTCTTCTCGAAAAACTCATTGAGCTCTGATTGGTCGGCTGGACTAATAACTAAATCAACCAGGCCCCGCCCCTTTATTCTGCAAAAGCCTTGGGTGGGAATTATTTAAATGTGGAATAGTGACATGTTTGTTCCTGAATGAAAATGAGGCGTTTCAGGGAGTTCAGAAACAGTGACACTGATATGGAGAATAACTCACTTTGGAGTGATTTGTGCGGTGCAGATCTTTTTAATGTTGAACAGGGAAAAAAGCTGTGAAATGTCACGAATATCTATTTTACACAATGTTTGATCATATTTAGATTTCATTAAAATTTTGTTCTAACCTAATTTACACAAAACAATTACAAAACAAAGAAAAAAAGCCTAACAAGCTGTAATACTGACAGATCGAGTTCTTCATTTTTATAATCAACGTGTTTCGTCTGCCAAAGCGAGAAAATCAAGAGTCAAAAGTGTTTCTCTGGAATGCATGGAAACTAATTTAGGATAAATGTCAGATTGTGGGCGTAACGGTGCTGCCTTTTTAATAAATCACACTGCAATTCCCATTTTATCTCACACACACACACACACACACTCTGGGAGGTCTTGTTATTGCTGGCTGCTGGGAATTATAAAACAGTTGGGAAGGATAAACCAGTCTCAGATTAATAAAGTGGCCTCATTATCGCCACAGTGATTACAGAGAGCAGCTCCACGTGTGATTTTTGCATTAACATAAATTAAACTCCAAAACCAAGTGAAGATTTTATAAACACACAAGTTTTTTAGCTCAACCTCAAACATGAGCACAGTGGGTGACCAGACTTAAGAGATTTGCCATTTTTAAGATAAAATGGTTTTGAGGTTCTTAACAGAATTCCTGATGGAGCTTAGCAGATCGTAAGCTCGTGAGACATGTGACACAAACGCCACATATACAGTCAGATCAGGTTTGCTGATGGCTCGCCGTTCATAACCGAACCACCGTTCAAAGCGGCACTTAAGTTAATGAGTGAAACGTGCCGCCTCACGACCCCCGGCGTAATTCACTTCACCTCTGAAGAGCGGGTCTCCTCTGGCGTATTGATGGATGATTTTCAAGACAAAGGCCGGAATCGCTTTCAAACACTGACGGAAATAACACATCCATACAGGACAGGAATTGAGAGCAAGGGATGAGACGTGATAAAGGAAGAAAGAGGAGGGGTGAAAGGTTCAAGATGTAAATTAAGAGAAGAAAAGTCCTTTGATGACAGGGACACATAAAGCCAAGATAGCAGAGACAATCTTCAGTTTCTACAACTTAGCCGAGTAAAACGGTTCACTTTACTAGAAATATAGCAAGTGATTGGCCAGAGGAGCGTTTTACAAAAGGAACTATGGGTGCAAGTTACGTCATTACCAACATAAAACACACTATGCTTTTGGGAAACTGATTTCAAGATTATGGTCCAATAACTGTGGCCGATTATCTGATTAACAGAAGTGTGTCAATCCACCTACTGAGACCTACCGAGAGCCTCCAATGCAAATAGAAATAGATAGGGATGCACCGATATGACCATTTTGGCTGATAGCGATAACCGATAATTCTTTATTTTTGAAAACCGATAACCGATATATTGGCCGATAAATATGAATCCAAATTTGTGTAATTTGAGAGCCTGATTACAAAAACAAAAGCCTCATCAGTAAAAGCCACGTCCCAAACATGTTCAATTATAATTTTATGTAACCGATATGACATACTGAACCATATTTTCCTTTTTTGAAGTGATTCCAATCATATTTCAAGCAATTCAAAGCCATTGTGTTGAACAGTACAGTACGCATATGAAGAGTCTCAGCTGAAGGAGATAAAACACTATTTATCGGCTTTAATATATCAGACAAATTCTTCTATTGGGCCGATAATGATAACATTTAAAATAAACCGATATCGGTCGATACCGATAAGGTGGCCGATATATCGTGCATCACTAGAAATAGAAAATATAAAAATGCAGTGATTTACTTTTGAACTTTCTTCAACAAAGAATCACAGAAAAACACCAGGTTCCACAAAAATATTATGAACCATTGTTTTCAACATAATGACAATCAGAAATATTTCTTGAACACCAAATCGTCATATTAGAGTGATTTCTGAAGGATCATAAGACAGAATGCTTTTCTGCATTCTCATTGGCGAGCAACAGATGCTCTCTTGTGCGATTGGATGAAAGTTTCCCTTCAGTCTTCAACACACACACACACCCCTCCTCTTGGCATACCGCTATTGTTCCACTCCACTTATTCCCAGTCCAGGAGAAGTCCGTTAGTCAAAGCACACAGGAGACGCAGCGAGGAGATGCGGTCCAGCTGATCAAAGCGCTTCAGTTTTTGCAATTTAAACTTTTGGATAGAGGTTTTTGGGAAGAAAAAAACCTTGAAACTTTGAATAAAAGACTTTAGTAGAAAAGAAAAAAACAATCTTTGAAGAGGAAAGCAGCCTTCCCAGGAATTCCCAAAGTTCTAGAGCAGGTGCACAGATATATTTAGTAAAAGAGATGGCCTCCGCGGCTCTGGAGATCCTGGGTCTGATGCTGTGCGTCGTCGGCACGCTCTTGGAGATGGTCGTCTGCATGCTGCCCACCTGGAAGGTCACCGCCTTCATCGAGGCCAACATCGTGGTGGCGCTGACCATCTGGGAAGGGTTGTGGATGTCGTGCGCCGTGCAGAGCACCGGCCAGATACAGTGCAAGATCCACGACTCCATGCTCAATCTCAAACACGACCTCCAAGCCGCGCGCGCGCTCACGGTCAGCTCGTCGGTGTTGTGCGTCATCGGGCTGATGGTGGTGATCGCCGGCACGCAGTGCACCAACTGCATCAAGGCGGAGAACGTGAAGGCACGGGTGGTTAACGTCGGAGGGGTCATCTATATCATCAGTGCCATATTCATGCTCGTGCCCCTGTGCTGGATGGCCAACAGCATCATCTCCGACTTCTACAACCCGCAGGTGCCGGCGTCCATGAAGCGGGAGATCGGATCGGCTCTCTACATCGGCTGGGCGGCCACCGCGCTTCTGCTGCTCGGGGGAGGCATGCTCTGCTGCTCGTGCCCTTCAACCTCCAGAAACTCCGGCTACTCGACACAATACGCGCCCACCAAAAGATCAACATCCAACGGGGACTATGACAAGAAGAATTACGTTTAGACGCTGTTTAACCCTATGGTCATTTCTGACAAAAAATGTTCTGTTTTGAAATTTTAAAAATCACAGCTTCATCGGAATGTTACGAAACTTGGTGACTTTTATGGCATTGGGTATGTGAACACAAAACAAAATTGAGGTTATGATTCGAGCAGGCTAAGTGGCCGTAAAAAAAAAAAATAGTCACACTTGTGCTCTTCGGTCAAAAATGACCGACCATAGAAAATAAATGGGAAATTGACAAAAACACAAAAACTTTGAGAATTTTTGTGTGTACAATCTACAAATCGGCCACGATGCAGTAAAAAAAAGTGCTCAGCATTGAAGGGGTGACACTCTAAAACATCAAGAGTGCACAAGAGTGCCACCCCTACACTTTTATAGACAAAAACAACAATAAATTGTGATTTAAGAAATCTGTTTGAGTATTTAAAAATCACAGCTTCATCGGAATGTTACGAAACTTGGTGACTTTTATGGCATTGGGTATGTGAACACACAAAAAAATTGAGGTCATGATTCGAGCAATTTAAGTGGTCGTAAAAAAATTAGGGCTGGGTAATAAATATCGATTTCTCGATATTAATCGGTTCTCATTTTTATGAACCGATATCGATTCTTAAATCTCTCTCAAGAATCGATTAGTCATCCTGTTTCATTTGAATGAATGGGACATTGTATCGCGGCTGCGTGCATCGAAAAAAATCGCAATAATCTTTATCCTTTGTTACTATTGATATGAAACAAAGTGTAAATTTTCAAATTACGTCCATTTCCTTTAGAAATTCAAAAACATAAGTAGTGTTTTGGCGCTGTGGCGTGAGATCGCTCTGGCGCAGCTCAGGAGAAGCAGCAGCGCTGATCTCTCTTCCGGGATAATAATACCAGTTACCGCGCGAAATAAACATGAATGAGCATCTGAAAGTGTGTTAAAAGATAGGGTACAACTTATCGAAATCCGTATCATGTCACATTGATTCGCTCAATCAGCGTTTCAACCGTGGAAAGACGTCAGTTAAACAGCTTGTAATCAATGTCGTCATATTTACCTCAGAAAACCCACATCAACTCGTTAGTCAGTCAGCAAGAAAAAAATAACTCTAGAGAGGAGCATTTTGCTAAATATATACACCATATTACATATGCATTATAATCTTAATGTTCTTCAATATTTAATGCATATTTGAATAAATCTGGCAAGTTTTTATGACAGCCACCATTTAAATGTTTATATTTCATATAATCTTCTTATTATAAAAATAAATAAAAGTGTAATTAAGTGTTTGTATAGCTACAAAACAGCTCATTATTACCTTCATATTAGGCTAATGAAGTCTATAGGCTACAACTAGACTCCCATAGTTTACAGCATTAGTTTAGAGATTTGATTTCCTTGAGAAAAATGGCCATTTATTGTAACTGATATCCAAAATAATCGAAATCGAATTGCAAGCTTGTGAATCTAAATCGAATCGAATTGTGAAATTTGTCTCAATACCCAGCCCTAAAAAAAATGATTCACACTTTTGCTCTTCTGTCAAAAATGACCGACCCAATAGGAAATGAAAGGGAAATTGACAAAAATACAAAAAAATTCTCTGAATTTTTGTATGTACAATCTACAATTCGGCCATAATTCTAAAAAAAAAAGTACACCGCAGGTAAGGGGTGACACTCTACAACATCTAGAGTGCAAAACAGACAAACCCACCAACACACACACACATACAAACACACTTGTATACACATACACACCAATAAATTTTGATTACAAAAAGAATGTTTTGAATTTTTAAAAATCACAGCTTCATCGCAATGTTACGAAACTTGGTGACTTTTATGGCATTATGTATGTGAACACTAGGGATAGGAATCGAGAACCGGTTCCACTCGAGAACAGGTGTTCTGTCGATTTTTGCTGCCTTGTCGAAAAATGCTACCATAGCGCGAATTGATCACAGAATGCCGATTAAAGTCGTATGAAATACAATTATAATACAATTCTAAGTTATGAGTAGCTACTGTATACTGTAGACTAAAACTGTTTATTTTTTAAAACGCGTGTGAAAAGTAAAAATTATCATTAAAATATTCATCTTTGACTTGTCAAAGTACACCTTTTCCTCATAGTAACTGAAACTTTCAGTTATTCTTTTTCAGCGGGCTGACCGTACAAATGTATTCATATGGTAGTTAGCATTTTTAAAGGGAAATTATACATATAACAGAAAAATGTACCTTTTGTTAAAAAAAAAAAAAAAACTGATCTGCATATGCGCATAACCGGTAAGTAGCAAATCTCGATGGCTAGCATGAATCGTCAGAACAAGTTTTACGATCCATCGATATTGTATGCCGTCGACGTTAATGATTCCTCTTATCAATGCTCCTGCTCTGACTCAACTGACTCAACCACAAGAGAGAGAGAGAGAGAGAGAGAGAGAGAGGGAGAGAGAGAGAGAGAGAGAGAGAGAGAGAGAGAGAGAGAGAGAGAGAGAGAGAGAGAGAGAGAGAGAGAGAGAGAGAGAGAGAGAGAGAGAGAGAGAGAGAGAAGAGAGAAATTGACGTCATTGCGGTGTTGGAGGTCGTGCACAAGGGTCCGCAAGACCCCATGGGCTATATGCACGCATAAATTCCGCATTTGACGCAAGGATGCTCGTCCATTTCCGGTTGTGGAGATTAAAGCGGAGGAAAACCGAGGAAAACAGGATTATGGCAGAGTCTTCAAAATTTACTGTCCTTCAGTCTTTGAAATGAAACGTACATACGTTTAGATGTAATTTTATATATAGTTATGTTTATTTAATATAATTTTATAAAGAAGCATAAACACAACGAGGGGTTTTATCTGTTTTTGTGACTAACGTTTCATTAGTATAACCATGGAGTATAAAATTCAATATAAATTCTCGGTATTGCATTGGACTCTACGATCGGCGGAAGTTATCGAGCATCCTTACATCTTCATCGGAAATACCGCCGTGCATAGACCCCATTGCGCCTGGCGGTGTGCAAGGCACTTTTTGTAACTTTGCGCGCGGCGCCGCATCCGAAGATGGACGACTACAAGCCGAATCTGGCCGAACTATACACAGAGACATTTGCATTGATGGGTGACCATAACATCTCATTTTGTGAACAGTAACACATTTGCATTAAGCACCTAGTTTGCACTTGTCTAAAGTAATTGGTTACATCTACAAAATAAGCCTGCAATAGCAGAATTAAGCCCTGCTGGTAAAATTAAGGTTTAAACACTCTCCAATAAGGCTTCAGTTGTTAAACTAGTTTACATGCAGTGAAAGTAGGCTACGATAAACCTACTGCATTTACTCTTTTATGAATTAGCAATTACTAAACTACTAATAAACGGCAAAGTACTTCTTCACTGCTGATTCCTGGTGGTTTAGGGGAGAATTACTCCGAGTTCGCCCCCTGTCGTTTCACAGAATAGCACAACGGCGAGCGCGTCAATGGGCTCTATGCACGGCGTTATTTCCGGTGAAGGATTAAGGATGCTCGATAACTTCCGCCGATCGTAGAGTCCAATGCAATACCGAGAATTTATATTGAATTTTATACTCCATGGTTATACTAATGAAACATTAGTCACAAAAACAGATAAAACAGACACCCCTCGTTGTGTTTATGTTTCTTTTTAAAATTATATTAAATAAACATAACTATATATAAAATTACATCTAAACGTATGTACGTTTCGTTTCAAAGACGGGAGGACAGTAAATATTGAAGACTCTGCCATAATCCCGTTTTCTCCGGTTTTCCTCCGCTTTAATCTACACAACCGGAAATGGACGAGCATCCTTACGTCAAATGCGGAACTTATGCGTGCATATAACCCATAATGCCTCGTCCGTTTGGAGAGGTGCGCGCGCAGGCAGCGGAGACTCGCGCTCTTGCGGACAAGAGGAGAAACTCTGATGTTTTTTTGGTAACAGCCACTAGATGGCGCTTCGGTAGCGCGGCCGCAATATCGGGGTGAAAATTCCAACTGGAGTTACTGGACAACAGCACAGATAACAGTTTTTTGAGGTAGTTTTTTCTTGCATTAGTGAGTATTTCCATTGTATGCAACTTTACACTTTTACTACTATTATTAGTTACCAACTCCACTAGGCCTGAAATATATTTTGGACGTTTTAATCCCCTGGTACAAACGTGATGATCATTGATGAGCTGTGTCCGTTATCCTATAACTAATTGCCACTTTGGCTGTGTTTTTTTTTTGTTTGTTTACATGGTCTTGCGTCATTAATATAAGATAGGCTAGTACTGCAAAAAAAAAAAAAAAAAAAAAAAAACTGTTTACTGTTCTATTGCTGTTATATATTTATTGTCAAACATTTGTAACATTTTAGTAAAACATTTATTTGCTGAATTTATTTCATTGATAACTTATTTTTGTAACTAACGTTATGTGTACCTCCCGGGAAACGGTCTATGTTATTATAACTTTATGAACTGATATCACTTTCTTACCTATCACACTTAATGTGGAGAGTAATATAATAAATCCTCAAACTTCCCTGTCTCAAGTTATATGGGGGTAAAAGCCCGGTTAAGTAACGTCTTTTTTAACTGCTATAAAGTTAACTGTTGTGAGTTAACGTATACGTTCTTTGGTATAAACAAGGCTTCAGGCTTCACCGTCTCAAAACTAAGCGCTGTCTTACTCTCACTCTCTCCCTCGCACATATTAATCAAAATAATCGACACGATGGTAAGGTCAGGAGACTAAAGTTTCATGTGGAGCATTCGGAGATTTGTTTTTTCCAGAATTACCGCTGGCCGTGAATTGTGCTAAAATAGGCCTACGTTGCCTCATTATCTTCTCTGAAACGCTTTTTTTTTCTTCTTTCTAAATCCATACTCTGTATTGATCTAAATGGAAGTGTCTTACAGTTTTTGTATGTTCCCTGTCTTGTTCTGTACATAATGCAAATAAAAAAAAAATCTTCTCTGAAACGCGTTCCGCACATTCAACTGACATAAACCACACTTCAAATAAACGAAAAAAACGATCCAGTGATGAAATGTTTTCTTTGACACACATCTTGTGGGATGTCCCAACCGCCGGGGTAATCACAAAACGCGCACACGTCCGATGATGACACGATCAATTCGCGAACTTATGACTCATTTGAACCGATTCGTTTTAATGAATGGTTAAAACAACTGAACTGATCTTCCAACACTGAACTCACGGGACTTATAATTGGTGAATAACTAATCGTAACACTTTTCAATAAGGTTCCATTTATTACATAAATAACATAAAAAGTACAGTTTGCTTAGTCAAGTGTAAGGTTTAAAACAAATAAAACCACTTGTTTCCCCCCCTGAAAAGCATATGACTACTTTTTCCCACACAGTGCTATCAGGAATCGATAAGAGAATCGTTAAAGAATCGGATCGATAAGTAGATTCGTTAGTGGCATTGATATCGATAAAATCATATCAATTCCCATCCCTAGTGAACACACAAAAAAATGAGGTCATGATCTGAGCAGGCTAAGTGGTCTTAAAAAAATAGTCACACTTGAGGTCTTTGGTCAAAAATGACCCCCATAGGAAATTAATGGGAAATTGTTAAAAAATGAAAAAGAAATTTGTCAATTTTTTTTTTATAAGAAATAGTTTTTGAGATTGTTTCAACTATATATTCAAATCCACCACCAACAACAACAAAAATGTGTTCATAAACATCTGGGGAATTCACATGCCTCTCCATAGCTGTACATGCCATCTAGTGGTTACACCATGATTCTACGCCTTTTCTCTATACTGCAACCAGATTCTGCTAATTTTCTTAAAAAAAAAAAAAATTTCTGAAGTCTTTCTAGACTCTATATTAAACTAAAATAATGCATTAATATTTAAAAAAAAAAAAAAAAAAAAAAATAAAAAAAAAAAAAAAAATATATATATATATATATATAGAGAGAGAGAGAGAGAGAGAGAGAGAGAAAAATATATATATTTTTCCATGGCAAAAATAAACCATAAAAATTGCATAAATATTAATAAATTCAATTACATTGACTCAAAATATCAAAATACTAAATTAAAAAGAATAAATATTATAGAACAAAAATAAATTTCATTGGTTTTACTGGGATGAAGACACTTCGTAAACTACAAATGGTCCAAAATTCAGCTGCTCGTATTATCACCCGTACCCCCGCTATTCATCACATCACTCCTATCCTACAACAACTCCATTGGCTACCTATCACTTATCGTATCAACTATAAAATACTTCTCCTAACTTTCAAAGTCATTCATGATCTTGCCCCTTCATATCTTTCTGATCTTCTCCATATATCCACATCTGCTCGCACTCTTAGATCCTCCTCTTCCATCCATCTCACTGTTCCCCGTGTCCGCCTTGTTACTATGGGTAGCAGAGCTTTTAGCTGCTCTGCTCCCCAACTCTGGAACTCGCTTCCACCGGACCTCCGTAATATTGATTCCCTCTCACATTTTAAATCAAAACTTAAAACCCATCTTTTTAGAATAGCTTACTCCCTCTGACTATGTTGTATTTTAATTGTATTGTAATTGTTATTGTTTTGTTTTGTATAATGTACGGTGACCTTGAGTGTCAAGAAAGGCGCCTAGAAATAAAATGTATAATAATAATAATAATAATGAAGAAAGTTTCATTTTTAGGTGTCCGGTCACTTTTGATCGGGAAGATAACAAGTGTGACTCTACGAAACGAAGAGCACCTGAGGGTTAAAATAATTTTACAGTAACGCTACATAAAAAAGTTATTGTGTGTTGCACCACCTGCAGATGTTTTGGTTCTCTTGTAAAACTTCAGAAATGTTGAATGACACTGAAGACTGGAGTAATGATGCAGAGAATTCAGCTTTGATCACAGGAACAAATTACATTTCAGAACATATTCAAATATAAAGAAGATTTTTTAAATTGTAATACTATTTCTTTGTTTTTGCTGCATAATTTGATCGAATAAATACAGCTTTGTTGAGCAGAAGAGGCTTCTTTCAAAAACACTTAAAAAATCTTGCCAAACCCAAAGTTTTGAATGCTGGTACACAGTTTTACTTAAATTCAGAATCATGCTTTGAAAGTTTGTTGGAATTTTTTCACAATGTTTAATACATTTAGGTTTCGCTTCCATTTTGTTCTAACTTTATTTACACAAAGTATAAAACAAGAATCGTTTTCAACCACTGTGTCTTTATACATGCTGTAAACACCAACATATGCGCAATAAAAAATAAAATTAACAGTCTATTATAATGAAGAAGAGAGGTCATTTAGAAACTCATCTTGTTTACTTGTCACATGTCTTGCCAAAAGCCCAAATCCTGCTTATTATAAATTGGGGATTTCCTTTTACATCCACTTCTATTTAGGTTCAAGGTTATTTTAACAAAACACGAGCCAAAAGATATCGTTTTGATGAATACAAGCTGTGTGAAGTTTTTTTGTTTTTACTGAAACAACATATGACTTCAGCTTAAAAAATTACATTCAAATACAGTCTTATAAATGCTCTCTGAGACCCGACAAAATGTGTTTTGGACTAGTGTTTGGATTTTGTTTTAGCATCATCACTGTCGTTCCTAAAAGGATAGTTCACCCAAAAATGAAAATGCTGTCATTAATTACTCACCCTCATGTCGTTCCAAACCTGCAAGACTTTCTTTCATCTTTAGAATACAAATGAAGATATTTTTAATGAAATCTGAGCGATTACTGTCCCTCCATTGACAGCTACACACAACTACCAATTTTACGCTTTAAAATGTTCATAAAGAGATCGTTAAACTAATCAGTTTAGAGAGACGTGATCGCTTTATATAATGAACATACTGAAGGCTTTTATTCACATTTAAACATTCATCAACTCACACATAAGTTGTGGTAAACAGAAGTGTTATGCGGCACGTTTGAACTTCTGCAAGAACCAATGGGGTTTGTTCTCGGCATCAAGCAGGTTTGTTTGTGGTTCCATTTATGTTCATTAATCAATGTTATGTGAAAAAAGCATCAATTCTTTACATCAAAATGATCGAGTCTCTTCAGAAAGTTTGGTCAACACCGCTCAATTAATTTGGATTAGTTTTATGATCTCTTTATGAACTTGTCAAGTTGCGTAGCTGTCAATGGAGGTACAGAAATCTCTCAGATTTCATCAAAAAGATCTTCGTTTGTTTTCCAAAGATGAATGAAAGTCTTAGGTATGGAACGACATGAGGGTGAGTTATAAATGACAGAATTTACATTTTTGGGTTAATGCATTCAAAATATTCCTTCTGTAGTTTGCTAATTTTATCGCCACATTTAGCACATTTATATGTACGAATATATATAAATATATATATATATATATATATATATATATATATAAATAATTGCATAATAGTAATATTGATCATCAATCACATATTTAATATCGAATTAAAATCACTATTATATTTACTGGATTATTAGAACATTCTAATGTCTATCACATATCAACATTAACATTAACACACAAAATGTGTGGAATGCATTTTATCAGAAATACTAAAATAACTAATAAACTGAAATGTTGGCTGCCGGGAGGACATGTTAAAAAGTGAGAAGGTTTGTTCCAGGCAGAGAACGTGCTATTATTAAACTTGGAAATGTGCTGTCAAACTCTGGCCACCATCTCCTCGACTCCCCCAAAGCCCAAACCCTCTCGAAATTCACATGATGCTAAATTCCAAAGTAATTTAAAATGAAACCAGATAATATAGCACCCCATTTGAAGTGAAAACACCTCCTCTCGTCCACACCCTTTTTGATAAAATGTTCTTAATTCACAGCACGTAACGCATCTAAAACTGACACGCCCGCACTAAAATAAAACATACGTGTGTCATCTTACAGTTTTAAGGAGAGAAACCATGTATCGAGAAACACAACTGTATTATTTGATGAAACTTAATTTGAAATGTAACTTTTGACATGCAACAGTTAACGTTACTGAAGCCGCTAAGGAACTGACTGACACATACATAAAGTATTGGCTGATTAATCACTTCCGGACACAAATGCGAAACTTTGACTTACTTTTTTAGAAGCTAGAAGCCCTTACCTGTTATAAACGCGTGATAAAACACAAAAACCTGGAGTTTTTCCACCTCCCTTGTTTTCTTTCTTCCAGCAGGCCAATCCAGGGAATCCGGAAACCGTTGCTACAATTCCGCCCTTATCCCATAATGCCTATTTTGTGATGGAGACAGAGTGCAACGGAAGCCATTACGGCTCGAGGACGGTCAACAGAGCGGCGAATAAGAGCCAAGATGGCGGAGACATGTCACAGTTTCTAAGAGCGGGCTGTTTCCAGTGCTTTCAGCGAACATGTCTAAACACGAATAGGATTTGAGACAACATATTGTATTAATGAAATTTAAATGAGATATAACTTTTTAAAATATTTTCATCCTATATATATATTTTAGATTTGTTTTGATGCAAGCGTGTAGCCTGTTGACAGCAGCGCGAGAGAAAGCAAGGCTGTGAGGGACAGACATTTCTTCAATGGGCTGTACTGTTATTTAATGTTTTTAGATTGTTCTGCACATGAAACACTTAATATCTTTCCAAGAATTTTCAGTTGACAAAAAATCTCCTGACAATAAGCTTTGGAAAAATTGTAAGTAGCCTAATCCTCTTGGCTTTATAGCTTTTTACAGCAGATGCCATTGAAAACACGGCAAGTCTATCTATCCCTCGTGGTCACACAGCCCCACTTATGATAGGCTTCCTGTCATGCTTCTCTTAATAAGCTTTATATTTAAAGAAGAAAAAAAACACCTGTTGAGAAACTGTTTATTCGTTTAAAGACCCCCCTCTTAGACTTTGCACAGCATTTCTGCATTCTCATTGGCGAGCAACAGATGCTCTCTTGTGCGATTGGATGAAAGTTTCCCTTCAGTCTTCAACACACACACACACACACCCCTCCTCTTGGCGTACCGCTATTATTCCACTCCACTTATTCCCAGTCCAGGAGAAGTCCGTTAGTCAAAGCACAGAGGAGACGCAGCGAGCAGATGCGGTCCAGCTGATCAAAGCGCTTCAGTTTTTGCGATTGAAACTTTTGGATAGAGGTTTTTGGGAAGAAAAAAACTTTGAAACTTTGGATAAAAGACTTTGTTAGAAAAGAAAAACAGACGTTGGAGAGGAAAGCAGCCTTCCCAGGCATTCCCAAAGTTCTAGAGCAGGTGCACGGAAATATTTACGCACTACAAGGAGTAAAAGAGATGGCCTCCGCGGCTCTGGAGATCCTAGGTCTGATGCTGTGCGTCGTCGGCACGCTCTTGGAGATGGTCGTCTGCGGGCTGCCCACCTGGAAGGTCACCGCCTTCATCGAGGCCAACATCGTGGTGGCGCAAACCATCTGGGAAGGGTTGTGGATGTCGTGCGCCGTGCAGAGCACCGGCCAGATGCAGTGCAAGATCCACGACTCCATGCTCAATCTCAACCAAGACCTCCAAGCCGCGCGCGCGCTCACGGTCATCTCGTCGGTGTTGTGCGTCATCGGGCTGATGGTGGTGATCGCCGGCGCGCAGTGCACCAACTGCATCAAGGCGGAGAACGTGAAGGCACGGGTGGTTAACGTCGGAGGGGTCATCTATATCATCAGTGCCATATTCATGCTCGTGCCCCTGTGCTGGATGGCCAACAGCATAATCTCCGACTTCTACAACCCGCAGGTGCCGGCGTCCCAGAAGCGGGAGATCGGAGCGGCTCTCTACATCGGCTGGGCGGCCACCGCGCTTCTGCTGCTCGGGGGAAGCATGCTCTGCTGCTCGTGCCCTTCAACCACCAGAAACTCCGGCTACTCGACACAATACGCGCCAAACAAAAGATCAACATCCAACGGGGACTATGACAAGAATAATTACGTTTAGACGCTGTTTAAAATGATTTTACAGTAACGCTACATAAAAAAGTTATTGTGTGTTGCACCACCTGCAGATGTTTCGGTTCTCTTGTAAAACTTAAGACTGATTTTCTACCTTGGACTACTGATTGGATCAATTTGTTTTATTTAACATGACGTCTTTTGTGGATATTCGTTTCTGAAAGGTGAACCTTTTTTAATAACTTTAGTAACAAACATTATGCAAAGCTTAACGGGTCATTAAAATAGCCTTCATTCAATGTCCTGAAACATTCATTTGGCTAAATATTTTCATGTTTTAATGCGCATGATCTGTTAAACAGTATATCATTTGATATAAAATTGATTTAATCCTTTTATAATTGTTTTCAGGAACATTATGTTGCTGATAATAAGCTGATCATGTACTTTAATGTGCATAAACTATAGGCCTAATGTTTGTTTTCACTCTGAAGTTATTATAAAATGTTGCCTCTTTGTTAAAAATGCAAATAATCGGACAAAATATCTGTTTTAGGTACCTGGAAAAGTTTGTAAAAGGCTAAAAGCATTAAGTTATCTGAGCTGATCAAAGATGTTTACCGATGTGTTCAATGTGCTGAGGACGTGATGTTATTAATGTGTAAATCTAGAGGAATCTGCTTTGGCACATATGCTGAGACTCTTCAACACGAGGAATGGCAGCCAGGACAAACAGCTGGAAAAATGAAGCAATTCCTGACTGATCTGTAACTCTCAGCTCAACCGTCTACACTGTGGCTCAGTGTCATGAGCTGAACAAGGCTACACGAGAGATAAAGTCAAGAAGGATCTACGCTCTCTTTGGAAAATATCTGTTTTTTTGGGATTGTCTTGCCAGTATATAGTGCCTTGCTGTATGCAAACCTTCATGGATCATGTTCCTTGAACATAAGACCTCTACATTCAGTTTATTCAGCTCATCTGAAATGGTTATTTTTTGTAACTTTTTTTTTATTGTGTATGAATGAATGTTCTTTGAAATAAACATTTACAGTTTTGACACAAATATGAATCTATGTGTTTTTGTTTAATGCCTCTGATAAAGTACAAAGCAAATACGCTGATAACATCAGATTGCAAAAAAACATTGACATGTCTAATTTAACTTTCATTCAACCATGTTTGATTTAACACCCTACATCTTCTGTGATTTCTGATATTAGTTTTAATGCTAAAAGTCATAAATGCTTACAGTATATTTAACATTAAAGATATAGTTCACCCTCGTGTCATTTCCAAGCTCGTAAGATTTCTGTTCATCCTCAGAACACAAATGAAGATCTTTTTAATACAATTTGAGAGATTGACAGCATAAAGAGATCGTAAAACTAATCCATATGAATGAAGCGTTTTGGTCCAAATTTTCTGAAGAGACTCGATCGCTTTGTATGATGATTGAATTTAGTCTTTTATTCACATTTAAACATTCATCATTGAACATAAACAGAAGCTCAACTGAACCTGCTTGATGCGCGAGCACAACCCTCGTGCGAAAGCTCAAACGTGATGCGTAACATGAGAATGAACCTCATTGGTTCTTGCTGAAGCTCAAACGTGATGCGTTACACAAGAATGAACCTCATTGGTTCTTGCTGAAGCTCAAACGTGATGCGTTACACGAGAATGAACCTCATTGGTTCTCGCTGAAGCTCAAACGTGATGCGTAACATGAGAATGAACCTCATTGGTTCTTGCTGAAGCTCAAACGTGATGCGTAACATGAGAATGAACCTCATTGGTTCTTGCTGAAGCTCAAACGTGATGCGTTACACGAGAATGAACCTCATTGGTTCTCGCTGAAGCTCAAACGTGATGCGTAACATGAGAATGAACCTCATTGGTTCTTGCTGAAGCTCAAACGTGATGCGTTACACAAGAATGAACCTCATTGGTTCTTGCTGAAGCTCAAACGTGATGCGTTACACGAGAATGAACCTCATTGGTTCTTGCTGAAGCTCAAACGTGATGCGTTACACGAGAATGAACCTCATTGGTTCTTACTGAAGCTCAAACGTGATGCGTAACATGAGAATGAACCTCATTGGTTCTTGCTGAAGCTCAAACGTGATGCGTTACACAAGAATGAACCTCATTGGTTCTTGCTGAAGCTGAAACGTGATGCGTTACACGAGAATGAACCTCATTGGTTCTTGCTGAAGCTCAAACGTGATGCGTTACACGAGAATGAACCTCATTGGTTCTTGCTGAAGCTCAAACGTGATGCGTTACACAAGAACGAACCTCATTGGTTCTTACTGAAGCTCAAACATGATGCGTTACACGAGAATGAACCTCATTGGTTCTTACTGAAGCTCAAACGTGATGCGTTACACGAGAATGAACCTCATTGGTTCTTACTGAAGCTCAAACGTGATGTGTTACAATAGAATGAACCTCATTGGTTCTCACTGAATCTCAAAAGTGATTCGTACCACGAGATTGAACCTCATTGGTTCTTGCGGAAACTCAAAAGTGCTGTGTTACGCGAAAATTCATACGTATACGTTTTACGATCTCTTTATGAACTTTTTAAAGTGTCAAAGTGGTAGTTGCGTACTTCAGATTTCATAAAAAAAATCTTAATTTGTGTTCTGAAGACGAACAAAAGTTTTACGGGTTTGAAACGATTATAATTAATGACAGAATTTTAATTTTTTGGTGAACTACTCCTTTAAAGTTAATGATGGTTCTCACCAATTCATTAAAACGACACTGTGAATATGGGAAGTATTTGACAGAGTAGGCCTACCTTAGAACCGAGCGGTTAGAAAATGAAAAACTGTGTACAGTCAGTTGTGAAGTATAAGTGCAAATGGTTCTCCAAAACCTTGTTTCTGAAGGCTTAGCTGGTCATATGGCCACTCAATATTGCAAAAACACGTCAGTCACACTTAAGAGTGTGCGGCAGGACTGCATGACCTGATTTTACTGGTTAGTACCAGTATAGAAGTGCACTAGCACAAAAAAACACATGCTCAGAAAGTTTGGAACAACCGACTGTTTACACTCTAAAAAATGCTGGGTTGTTTTAACCCAATTTTGGGTCAAATATGGACAAACCCAATTGTTGGATTAAAAAATGCAATTTATAAATTTAACCCAACAGCTGGGTTTGTCCATATTTGACCCAAAATTGGGTTGAAATAACCCAGCATTTTTTAGAGTGTACATTCTGGATTCAACAACAACTTTTGTTCTGTTCACACATTCAGGCCATTTGACTTATTTGCCCTGCCTTATAGTTACTATAGTAACTTGCAACATGTAACAATGACACTAAGATAAAGCGTTACTGTATTTATTCAAATCAATCTTACTTTTAGAACACTCGAAACAATGCTGGGTTGATTTAACCCAGAATTGGGTAAAATATGGACAAACCCAAATGTTGGGTTAAAAATGTCATTTAAAATCTTTTAATTAATTACATTTTTAACCCAAATTTGGGTTTGTCCATATTTGTCCCAAATTTGGGTTGAAATAACCCAGCATTTTTTAGAGTGAAGATTGTACTTTTAGAATATAATCTTACTAAAAAATGTAATTTATTTAAAAAAATTTTTTAATATGGCTTGAACAAAACTTGTTCATTTAGTTGTTGCCACAGTCATTTTTTTTGGGTTACTGGACATAAAATTGTAGAGCGGCGCTAACTCTTTCTGTACACTCTAAAAAATGCTGGGTTGTTTTAACCCAATTTTGGGTCAAATATGGACAAACCCAAAATGTTGGGTTAAAAATGTAATGTAAAAATTTAACCCAACGGCTGGGTTAGTCCATATTTGACCCAAAGTTGGGTTAAAACAACCCAGCATTTTTTAGAGTGTAGTTTATGGGTTTGTTAACAGCACTGCGTCCCCCGACCCTCCTCTCTCAGTCGACACAATAGAGAGCCTGTATGAATATCCACACCAGTTCTTTCAGCCGGCATTGTGGGATTGTTAGTTCCAGTCACCCTTTGGAAGCCGAGGAGGTTACGAGGCTGAGTAACGAGCGAGTGTGTGTGTTTTGGGTGGGGAGTTGAGGAGGGCACTCGGGGGAGGTGCCCAGACTTTTTAAAAGGACCTTCCATCCATAATGAAGAGAGGCACATGGGGGCAGCTACGACGTCATTAAAGAATCTTCGTCATGGCAACCGCAAAAGAACCTGCTGTTGCCTGGTGACAGGACCCCATAATGTGGCCATATGGATGAGGACAATGGGAGACCCGTCGGCAGACATTCCAAGACACGGATGGGGGAGAGAGAGAGAGAGAAATTAGGAAGAAAGAATAATCTCTCACATGATTCAAAATATACTGACATAAACAGATCTCACACACGTCATTTTTTGACCACAAATATTAAAGATTGGAGATCATTATTTTACACCAAATACACTTGTTTGTTTTACAGAGTAAAAACATCAGGAAACATAAAATGCACCAAACCCTAAATTATACATATTTATTTAAAATGACTTTAGATTTAGATTACATATCCATTCATTCAACAAGAAGAACAAAAAAACATAAAATTGAGTCAGTTCTTTTTACCCAAAAAAGAGACGCATAGTTTCTTTGAAAGCTGTAGAAAATATTGTATTATTGCTGGAATATTTACATTTGTGTACATGAAATTTCATTAATATTTCAATTACGTCGAATAATTTTTAAAGTCAGCATGAAACAGAAGTTGTGATGGTCTTTTCTTTCCTATTGTGGCGTATATCTATCGCGTTCGTGACTCCTGTTTGAACTCGTTTATCAAAATGAACGGATCTTTTTTCAAGTCATTTTGTTCATTTCGTTCGTTGAATGAACCAAATGACTCGAAAGAAGATTTGTTCATTTTGATGAACGAGTTTGAACAGGAGAGTCACAAACGCGCATCACAGAACAGAGCAAGGCGAGCATTTGAGCTAATAAAACTTAAACTTTATTTTTTTTTTTTTAAATGAACGATCGTTACGCTTGATAAGACCCTTATTCATCGTCTGAAATCGTTTAAAGCCCTTTGAAGCTGCACTGAAACTCTCATTTGGACCTTGAACCGTTTGGTTCCCATTGAAGTCCATTATATGGAGAAAATCCTGGAATGTTTTCATCAAAAACCTTAATTTCTTTTCAAGTGAATAAAAAAAAGACGTGGACATCTTGGATGACATGGGGGTGAGTAAATTATCAGCAAAAGGTTTTTAAAAAGTGAACTACTTAAAATCAAGGTTTAACATGTTTTTTTTTTAAACTTTTAAGTTGAATGTTCAATTAATGTTTTTAAATGGTTTCACGACTGGTTTCAGAATGTTCAGAGAACATTCAAAAGTAAAACTCATTTGAAGAATGATAAAATGGAATGTTTACTTGATGTTCACATTAAAAGAACGCTTTTCAAACATTTAAAAAACTGGACATTTGGAACCTTCAGGGAACATTACGAAAAAAAAAAAACATTATTAAGGGAATGTTTGCTAAAGGTTCTTATAGATTATTGCTAGATGGGTGGTTGGACAAATATATAGTCCCGCCCTAAATTCATGCCATTGGTCAATATTACCTTGTCAATAAGTAGGAACCATATTGGTTGAAATTATGAATATATATCCAAATTTTTCCTTAAGGAAATTTCCAGCAACATTCCATTAATGCATCTGAGAAGTGATACACACACACACAAACAACAGGTTCTCATGACGCCCACACTGACCTCTGCCCTCCAAAGGTCAGGTGTCATTTCCAGCTTCCCATTACTGACCAGCTGTGATGTCATCAAACACATCATCGCCACGGTGATGGTCCTTCGTGAGCAAGCTCTCACTAACACGGATTAGTCACCGTCCACACTCTCGCTGTCAATCAAATGATGTGCTCACAAACGGCCATCTTTCCTACGCGAGATGAAATGAGAAATTATCCTATAGTTGCATCATCTTCATGTCTTTATACACTAGCGTTCAATTTTTTTAAACTGTTTTCTATGAGATGAAGACATATAAAAAGAACAGCATTTATTTGAAATAGAAACTCT